ACACACTCACACTCACACTCTCTCACACACTCTCTCTCTCGCACACACACACACGCACACTTGCACACACGCACACTTGCACACACGCACACTCGCACACTCACACTCTCTCTCACACACACACTCTCTCTCACACACACTCTCTCTCTCACACACACTCTCTCTCTCACACACACTCTCTCACGCTCTCTCACACACACTCACTCTCTCTCTCTCTCTCTCTCTCTCTCTCTCTCTCTCTCTCTCTCACACACACTCACAGACACACACACACACTCACACTCTCTCACACACACCCACACTCTCTCACACACACTCACACACAGTCACACTCTCTCTCATACAGACTCACACTCACACTCTCTCTCATACACACACACACACTCACACTCACACACACTCTCAATCACACTCTCTCTCACACTCTCTCTCATACACACTCAGTCACACTCTCTCTCATACACACTCTCTCTCATACACACTCTCTCTCATACACACACACACACTCACACTCTCTCACACATGCCCACACTCTCTCACACACACTCAGTCACACTCTCTCTCATACACACTCACACTCATACACACTCACACTCTCTCTCATACACACACACTCACACTCTCTCTCATACACACACACACTCTCACACACACACTCACACACACTCTCACTCACACTCTCTCTCACACGCTCTCTCACGCTCTCTCTCTCTCTCTCTCTCTCTCTCTCTCTCTCTCACACACACACTCACACTCTCTCTCTCACACTCACACTCACACTCTCTCTCACACGCTCTCTCACACACACTCACACTCTCTCTCACACACACACACACACACACTCAGGGGCATGTTTAGGCAAGAATTTATGGCACATCATCATATCCATACATAGTCAGTTTTCAGTACAAAGTGTCTTTATGAAAATGTGACTTGACCTCATATCTCATTTTCTTTTAGAATTTCTTCTATTCTCGTAAAAATTTTATGAAGCCCACCCATCAAGAGTTCCCTCACCGCAACTTCCAGGAGGAAGTCGAGTTCCTCAGCCAGATTTTTCCAAGTACGCTGCAAAAATGAGATGGTGATGTGAACATTATGAATGAAGTATTGTCTGATTAAAAGTTTTTTTTATTTTTTGTTTTTTTTCATGCGCAGATGGAGCAGCCTACTGTATGGGACGTCTGAACTCAGACTGCTGGTGAGCCGTTTTACGTCATCTAGACTTCCCACAATCCATCTGACTTCAGATAAACCATCATTAGAAAGTCTTAAATGTTGCATATGCATCAGAATTCTTTCTCGTTTAAATAAGGCCAGACTTTAGCATTGTAAAGTCAGTTTTTTTTTTTTATGCCATCGTTTCATAAATGAGTAAATTGTTCATAAAATGTTCTTAAATGATTATTGTTTTTAATTTAGTTTTTTTGGGGGGGGAAATAAAAAAGCTCATCATCTGATGTCCATTTCTGTGGCGTTGTTCTCCTTCCTGTCCTGAAGGTATCTGTTTACGCTGGAGCTGCCGGAGTTCTGGGAGAACAAGCAGGCGGACCAGACACTAGAAGTTCTGATGAGTGACCTCGACCCGGCTGTGATGGACCAGTTCTTCATGAAAGACGGTGTTTCTGCTAATGATGTCACTCGTGTACGATCCGTCCTCTATGCTTCTGCTCTGTAGTGTCATGTGTGCTCTTATTGCTGGATGCTGGTCCATTTACTAGTACCAATGTATCATGTTCGTACTTTATGCACACCATTTATTTCTTTATTTAGTGAGGTGTCTTTAAGGTTATCTGTGGTGTCTTCACAGATGAGTGGAATTCGTGACCTGATTCCAGGTTCAGTGATTGATGCCACAATGTTCAACCCTTGTGGATACTCCATGAATGGAATGAAAACGGATGTAAGGAGTCATTTAAGGCTGCAGGTTTTGTTGTTGTGAGAAAGTTGCTCTGTGTCCTGCAGCGTGATTGAGGTCGGTTGTCTTTCTAGGGAACTTACTGGACGATTCACATCACCCCCGAACCAGAGTTCTCCTATGTCAGCTTTGAAACCAACCTCTCCCAGACGTCTTATGACGAGCTTATCCGCAAAGTCGTGGATGTCTTCAAACCAGGGAAATTTGTGACGACGCTTTTCGTCAATCAGGTACATTATTACACAACTAATCGACAAAAGATTATTTTTCAAACCGGTACTTCCCCAACTTTTTCCTCATTGCTCTGAAAAAAAAAAGGTGTTCTTGTTACAGTGTAATTATGCTTTTGAGTACTGGGTATGGTTAGAGTTTGGCTTAATTAATTAATTAACTACATGCACTTACTGTATGGTTAGGGTTTGGCTTAGGGTTACTTGCATGTAATTATGCATAATTAAGTGTTATTATAATAGTAAGTACATGTAACGTGTAACAAGGACACCTTATTGTTTTGGTTATTTTTTAACTTATTATTAGATATCTTATAATACTTGTGAATTGATTGCTATGAATATTTATGTAACATTGAAGGTGGTGTGCAATGATTCCAGCCTCTGGCCTTCTAATTGCAGTGCAGTTGTAGCAAAAATAATGCATATGTGGTATAAAATTCTTAACATTATTAGTATTTATAAAGCACATATTCTGCATGAGCATGTTCTACATCCCTAATCCTCCCCAATACCCCAAACTTAACAACTACCTTACTAACTATTAATAAGCAGCAAATTAGGAGTTTATTGAGGCAAAGTCATAGTTAATTGTTTGTTAATAGCGAGAATTGGACCTTAAAGTAAAGTGTGACCGCCAAACTCATTCTCCTGGTTTATCTCGTTCCCAACAGATCTCCAAATGTCGCAGCGTTTTCTCTTCGGCTCAGAAGCTGGAGGGTTACCGCGTCCTGGACCGCCAGTCGGCGCACTTCAACGACTACAACTTCGTCTTCACCAGTTACACCAAGAATCGCCAGCAGAAGCAGAGCTGAACCTCCGAAATGAAGAAGCGTAAAAAAAAAGCGTGCGGCTGGCGGCGTTTGTGCGTGGAGTCTTCTGGCTGTAGAACTTCCCCGAGTTTAACATTTATGCATACTTGTACCTGTGACGTAGATATCGTGCATGAAAGCTCTTCTCGTGTCTCTGTAGATATTCTAGCCCATTCTTGCTGTGATCTTGAAGTGCATGTAGGGTTCTTGAACGTGGCGGCGGTGGTGTGTGTGAGGCATGTCACACCATCATCCCAGTACATGCAATGCTCCCTTCCCTTCCTGCAAGTGTCCCCTCGCATCCCCCACAGACAGGGTTTCCGACCTCACTAGACAAGGACCCTGACACGCTCAGATCCGAAGCGAGCTCATCAGTGTGCGAAGAGGTTGGGTTGACTTGCATTTCATTTCTTTTAACACGCGTGGCGTCGGTCATTTTTCGGCGCTCAGCTGTGTGTAGCTCGCTAACTACTCTGACAGTGTGTGAAGAAGTCCTGAAAACAAACTTAAAATATTCCTCGTCCATCTTTCTTACTTTAACCCTGCAGGCAGCTGTGTCTATTCGGTGTGCTAGAGAAATGAGCGTTGAGTTGAAGTTGAGGAACTTCGATGTCGACAGCCTGCGCTTCTTTTAGGGGCTGTTTTGGAAAACCGTGCTTGTTTCAGTAATACAGAGAAGTGAATGTTACTTAACTGTTGCCTTAAGTGTCAATAACATATACTCTGCAATATATAACCATTATGGTGAAAGTCAGCCGTTGTCTTCCTTTCCTCAAAATCAAATGGCATTTAACATGAATGTATTAAAAGTAAAAACATTAGTTAGTTGAAAGGTGACTATGTTCTATAAAGAATGGATTTTTCTGAATAATGTAGCGAGTGCAGAAGAAGCCATTGAAGAGGGAATGGTGAAGGACCCTGGGGCTGTCCAGCGCAGAGCCTGCTCAATGCACGCCTTTGAATTGAAACGTTTGGACAGACACTTTGCTTTAGTGTGCCGATCGCACAGCAAAGCATTTTTCTTTTTCTAAACAAAATGAGTCCTCTCTCTTTTTCTCTACAGTAAGCACACAATAGGCACGCACCGATCTGAGCATGTCAGGGCTGACCCGGATCATTCCACACCCCACGCCTGCATAAAGTGCAGTTTTATTAATTCCCTTTTTTTTGCAGTAGATTTGTACACCTCCAGATCATGCTCTCTTTGTGCATTGAGAAAAAAAAATATATTTTTTTTTTTTGCAGGTGTGCTATTGCATGCGACTAGAGTATAAGCAGGATGTTTCCGCTTCAGCCCTTTGTAACACTTTTAATTTCTGTTCGTACGACGTAACAAACTTTGCACGTAGGTCCTGAGTATGATGAGCGGTGGGTGTGGTTTCATTTTTACCCTCCCGAGTTACGCAGCTGGTGTAGTTGTGAGGAAGAGGATGATGATGATGTTTTTGTTACGTCTCCTTCGTAGTGGCAGATGGGTTCGTGAAATCTTCTTTACTAGAAGGTCCTGCCGCTGAGAGAATCTGAAAAGGCCAGGTCTCTCTACAGAACGCCAGTCTAGTAACGAATGTGTCTTAAAAGCCGTCTGAAAGGTCAAAGGGCAGCTGGATGTTTACAGTAATTGTTCAGAGGGAGAAAAAAAACGAAGCAATTCAATTTGATTTTACGGACAAGATTGGTCAGACCTGGACCACTGCTGGGAGAAATAACATGAGCATGATCGCATATCACACCTAGCATTTTTCCGGTGAAGGGGTGGTGGATTCAAACATTTTTCTGGTCTTTCTATGTGGGATTTATACAGTATACATGAGTGGAGGGGGACACACACACTACTTTTTTTTTTCTTTTTTGCTGACCCCTCTGAGGTGGGGAGTGACCTTTTCAGATGATTTGAACCTTTTTTTCCCCGTCTTTCTATTAGCTCTGCCCAGCCTGTGTTGGTTGGTAAGGAAACTATAGAAAGGATTCTGTCGTGGGATTTTCACAGGAAGTTGGGAAGGAAGGGGAAACTTTGCTGTTCCAATTCTCTTGCTATTTCCTTGGTTGGTCAAGATGTGCTGAATATATCTGTACTAAGAGCTTGATGCTTTCAATAAAGTTCATAACTATCAGCTGTGTACTTGTGATTTATTTATAGAGTTTTTGTTCATTACCCAGAATGCACTGCTGTATATCACTATGATATCTGGCTGAGTTCAAAATGAAAATGTCATGTTTTATTTTATTGTACACAATGTAGGTTTATAGACATTTGTTTCAAATTTTTTTTTATGATAAATTATGGCTTTCAATTTCCACACGTTACCTTGTTTTACCTTTCATAATGAAGTTGGTCAATTTCTTAAAGGTGCAATAGGTGATTGTCTTCAGAAACATTTTTTGTTACGCTGGTTGAAAGTCTCTTCGCATCCCGATAGCAATCATTAAGTTAAGTGGTCGAAATTTATTTGTCTGTATTTAGATATTCTGTGGAAGGCGTAGGATCAAGAAATGTTCGTCCAATCAAAACTCTCGGTCCGAGCGTTTTAATTGGCTTTCCTACCTGCCTGTCAACATATGTATTAGCATCCCTCTGCGCACCGGGTTCGTGCAGACAGGATACGTTATCAGCGCGTTCACGCACGCTGTGCAGACAGAGCGAGAATGGCAGACAAACATCAACAACCCGATCTTCCTTCCTAGTATTGTAGTACTTTTAAAGATTTCTCATCGTTGGATGACACATGATGTAGCCCAGCGGTTAATCCAGTCCTCGCGCCAGATCGTTAGAATTGAGCTATGTGCATGAACTGTGTTACGATTGATATGATCCCTACACAGTGTTCATTGCTCTCTACTCCCTGAGCCGGGGAAATCCGTTGAAGTTTACGTCACTTCGGAACATGGGCTGGAATTGGGAACCGCTGATGTAGCCTATTGTAGTAATGTTGTCTCTGGTACTCTGGTCTGTGAGCGTAAATGCGTTCAGGCAACGTGGCTTTGGACGGCGATTGCAGGGAGGGTGGGACGTTCGCTTTCAGTGTTATCAGGCTAAAGTTAGCATTTTCCAAGATCTACTGCACCTTTAAGTTTATTTTAACCATATGTTGGCATATATCAAAAGGATTTCTATGTTTCACAGACCGGGCTTAGCTTAAAGGGGTCGTATGATGCAATTTCACTTTTTCCTTTGTCTTTGGAGTGTTACAAGCTCTTGGTGCATAAAGAAGATCTGTAAAGTTGCAAAGACTAAAGTCTCAAATCCAAAGAGATATTCTTTATCAAATTTAAGAGTCAACCACGCCCTCCTAAAACGCCTTGTTCTAACACGCCCCCACATGTCTACCTCACTATGTGGGAAGATTTGCATACACGACTAGAAATCAGTGGTTAAGTTGTATTTACAACACTGTTCCAGAACA